ATCAGTTGTTGATGGGAGAAAACAATCCGACGCTGAGCGGAAAACAAGGTCTTCTTCACTCCTTGACATAATCGACTCTTGAGTATCTCTACCTCTGTATCTCCCTTGAATCCAATATTCATAAATAGTGTTTTCTTCAGAACCCAAGTGCTTCCTTATTACAAATGCTCAGGATTCATGGTCCTCTCAATGAATCTTCAAGGATAACCATTCTCGATGAACACTCTTCGGAGTACTTCCAGCTTCTCACTTACTGCACCACTTACTGTACAAATTCTTCTGATTCTTGTGCATAGTGAATGAGTTAGATTTCTTTTCCTGGCTGCTATAGCTCAGCTTTCAAAATGGCCATATTGATCATTCCAGGTTTGTTTTCTGTAAACCGATCTTCTTAGGGAATCATCATGTCTTCTTCTCAATAAAACATCCAGGAAGTAGAATTCTGAGTTATTTTCAGTTCTCGTGGGAAATTTAATTGAATTGTGACATTTAGAGAACTTTTGTGGCATATCTTCAAGTTTATTGTTCTCCTCACAGATGATGAAAGTGTCATCCATGTATCTCGTATATTTATATGGAACTGGTCGATCAATGGAAGTAGTTTACTGTTCTCCAGACTAGCCATGAAGCAATCAGCTAGGAGGCGGCATATCAGTGAACACACTGTCAGTCTGTTTGTCGATAAAGTTCATTACTGAATCGAAACTGCATATTAAAGGTATATCGTAAGAGCAATTCCTTCCGATAATGTTTAAGAATCCTAACTTCAAGCTTGTTGACCTCAATATAATCACATGGAGAGCAGATTGTTTCTGTCAAAGCGATATCCGTCATATCCATACAGTCTTTACGATTCATGAAAACCATGCGGGGGCCTTTTTCGGGACGGACTAACAACAATTCATTGTTCTTCAGAAAACCGTCGTCATTAACGAAGCAGATTAAGTGAATAAAGAGCAAGAAGCACTCTGTGATAACAGTATTTTAAAAAGTACTGGTTGACAAGAATTCTCTCAAACCACTGATTTCATAGAAAAGTAAATGCTCTGGTCAAGCACTATCAGATCACAAAGGAGGAATAATGATGAATGAAGACGAATGCCCCAGTTCTGCAAAGATTCTACGGTAGACCAAAAATACACAAGGCAGATATTGCATTGCAACCAATAGTATCAATACCAGGGAAACCATCATTTAATCCATCCGAAGAATTATTCAATAAACTAAAACATTATATCCATGGAAGTTAACAGTCAGTCGATTCAACATTTTAATTCCTCGAGAGAACCAAAGACCTCAAAAGAGAGAACGACGAGAAAGTGGTGTCCTTCGAAATGACTGTAATTTTCACGCCGATCAACTCAAGCTTGCTCAAACAAACAATGAGTATCCTCCTCATCAATGACCAGAATCGTCAAAAGTATGCGAAAATTACTACTATAAACCTAATAGGACTTAATCGACTTATATCTTGCAATGTGGTTTCAGTTCAACGGAAAGACAAACAGGCAAATTAAAGGGAATGTCATAACTCACCAATATTCGGGCTGGTCGCCGAAGCAATCGATGCAGAGATTAGAATCAGTAGTTATTCCAACAGTCAAACCGGAAGTCTGGGTTTGTTATGTCAACGACGCTTTCGTAACTTTCAAAACAAAATCCGTTTAACCTCACAAACCTAACCTTTGGAGGTATTCAGTGCACAAAGGAGAATGCCGAAATCGCGTTTGTAAATGTGCTTAACAGAAGAACACATGACGGAAACTTACAGACTCAAATGTACAGGGAAGTGATACATACAGACTAAGATTTGATGAACAACAGCAACAGCCAAAGGTCTCATAAGGTTGTGTACAAGCACTATTCCCACGTGCCAAGACTCATTTTAGCACTCGACAACTGAAAAGATCAGGAGAAAACCACCTTCACAAAGTGTTCAGAGGCAATGACTCACCAATAAATACCTATCGATAGAACACATATTAGGACAATAACCTAGACCTATGAAGGAAATTAATTTACCTCATACCAGAGATATCTCAGAAACTGTTAACCGGTGACTTCACCCATTCAGTTTCAGCGTGACACACAAGCCAGCCACGTCCCTATGGAGCATATTGTGCAACCTTAAGAATCCATTACTCGAAGACGACAAGAGAAATATAGTCTACAAAACAAGTCACAAAGATCGTCAACACCACTATGTTGGCCAAGCCAACCATCAAATAGCCCAAAGAATTAGTGAGCATCAATTTGCAGTGGAAAGACATGATATGCCACGATTGATATTGATGCATGTAGATGAATTCAAACACAACTATCAAAACAAAGTGGGAATAATACAATAAGCAAGCTCAGAAACGGTAAGCGAGTCCCCAGAAGCATGGAACTCCAGTCGAATAGCAATCAACATACAAGTGGACATTAATTCAATATACGGATTACTAAAATGAGATCGAGTAACTGAAAATCAGTCAAGCAGATCAATGATCATACATTAAATCAAACTAATAACAGTTATAAAAGGCAATCTATTATTTAAAAGACCAGAGGTTATCCCTACTCGCCAGCCAATAGCGCTCAAGGTCACCAAACCCCTTTACAAAGCACTCACGCAGATCAAAAACGTATTACTTCTATGTGAAGTAAAAGTAGATGAAATTTCCTAGACTGATGGTGAAACGTCCGAGAACATATCTCAGAGAACTCCAAACAACTAATTCTAAATGGATCGACAACAGCAAACGAAAGAAAAAGCATTGCATGAGATGAACTCTAAGGATTTCAATTACATGAAGTCCGTTAGAACTGCAGCTCAGTTCAAATGATTTCATTGCAGCATAAGAAAAACAACGTTCGTTAAAGTGAATTTGTTTCATTTTTACTGCACAAGACTATGCTATGTACTTCTACCTAAATTACCGATAAGTCCAAGTGTCCTTGACATGTAACGTAGTCGAAGTGCGCTGAGCATTAGGCAATGAGCTACATCTATTGTGTGACGGCTAATAATACTACCTAGCTGACTGTATTTATGTGTGGAGCGTTTTTCGAAACTGTGATCCACCGGGTGAAAGTCAACTCCCTTATACCAATGAACCACAGATCCACTATGTAACACAGTAGTAGTTAAGTTGTACAAGGAGTAAACACAAGCACAGGAATCATCCACTACCTATTACACCTTAAAATAATACTTTTGGCAATTAAATTCTGTTTTATTTCAATTTACATTACGGTGGGTCATTCCTAGGAACAAATCAACAAAAGATCAAGAGAAAGCCGGAAAACACCTAATCTTCTGATGAGGAGTCCAAAAAGCAATATCAGTTGCTGAAACAATAACAAGCTTTCAGTTAAAAATAGTACCCCTTACTCTTTTCAAGGATGAAGATAAAATTTTAGTTAACAGAGGTGAATATATTATGCGCAAAGATACGATACACTTAATGGCCCCCACCCCTCTTGTATACATCATTACAGTATCGTTATCAAAGCAGGGGTGCGGATTTCGTAATTCCTCTTCAACCCTGTAGCAGCTATTTAAAAAGTACAGTGTTAGCTTACAATTCATAACTAAAACATTTCTGATCAATCATATACTAGTGAAACCGTCCTATAATCATTAGGTGGAGCTCAGGAATAACGGAAACGAGAAAACAAGGCACATTTCAGACTTGGCCGTGTCTCGATCAGATATTCACTAGCCCACGGTTCTGTAACGCAGGCACACCTAGGGCCGCCCGACACTGACTATTTCTTGACCTCAAGGCGACACTTCTCTCCGTCGGTCGAGAAGCCTTATGTAAATGTCTCTTATTCAAAAGGGTACCGATTAACCACATCTCCTTTGAAGGCTCTTTACCCGCAGAAGTGTTGGACCTTATGGTGAGCTGTGTGGGGCGAGTAGTGTCCGTCAACGATGCTCACTCTCCATTCCTATTTGAATTAACCACAAACGCACTAATGGAGGTCTTCTTCTCTCCATCCGACTTTGCAGGGATTGGTCTTATCGCAGGAGAATCATTAGTACACCTAGAGCATGCACATGACATATTTCTATTAGGTGAAGACTCTGACGAGAAGCACAAGCTTCTGGGCACCTAAGGCAGACGTTTGAAATCAATTCAGTGGCACAATTGTAACGCGCTGGTCGCAGGACCTAAAAGTCCTGGACTCGATCCCTAGAGAAGTCACGGGTACGCACTGTTGAGATATCCAGTACTATGACGGAACATCCACAGTGTCCCCAGGTTTTCAGTGGTCCTCCAACTGATGTCAATCATTGATGAATACCAATCTGAAATCAATAAATATCTCCATAGACCCCCAAAGTCAATTTGAGAGAGTTTGGCATGCATTTCTTGCCACTTAATCTCAAACTGTTGCTCTAGGACTGGTCTTCAGTGGGTCCCAGATCTAACAAATGGGGATTGAAATGGTTGGACGTGTTGAAAATTTCACTCACCTAAGAAGTCGGGTCAGCCCTGACGGCAGAATGATCGATGAAATCTCTGCATTAATGAAAAAGTCTGCCCAGACTACTCAGCTTACGGCACCGGAGTGACATCCAACTGCTTATTAAGGTTAGAGTGTACTTCACTGTGGTCTACTTGTTCCACTAAATGCATGTGGAACGTGACCATTAAAGGGAGAGGATGTAAGAAGGCTCCAGGTGTTTAACCCCCTTTGTCTTCGTAGAATAGGTTGTATCGGGGTGTCACCGCGTAAGCAATTTAGAATTCAGATGTAGAGTATAAGAGAGGAGAGAAAAACCAGTTGATAAGATTTTGAGCCTTCGTAGACTCACATGGATCGGACACAGGTTACGCAAACCTAGTCACCACTTGCCTCGTCATACAAAGGTGAAGTAGGTTCCGCAGATGTATCTACATATTATTTTCATCTTAATCGTTATACTGAATTCAGTAGTTTCTTATTCTTCCTTGGTATCTTCTCTATTCCTGTAAAATAATCTATTAAAATTTTACATTTTTTAGAAATGAACCATTCTCTGTTATTTTTGATTCAAATTATATCGACCACCTATCGTCTTCATCAGTTGACCAAAAAACAATCCAAAAGTTGAGGAGTGAACCTCTGAATTGTGAATTCTTAAGAGGTTATCTACTAATCGTAGACAGTCCAGATTCTACAATTTTCCTATGTGAATGGTATGTAACAATAAATACAATGACTACAGATTTTCAAAACGAGAATGACAACTACCCAAAATTTTACTATACATTACCCATAAATTTACCTAAAGAGGATGATTTAACATATAAAATCCCACCGAAATTTTCAAACTACTTTTCTACACTGTATGAAGCCGACGAACTACGTATCTACGTAGTGCCATATAGCTTGATGTCTACTAAAATTGATGATGTACAACTACCTCAGGTGAATACATTACTCATAGTACTTGATACAAACGTAAATATCTGCTTTAATCAATTATGGTCTTATGAAATTGCTAGTCCACCAAGTTCATATCCGTTACAAAATGGTAATTTATGCAACTGTTGGTATCGCAATGAATTATTAAATAACTGGTACAAACCAATAAATAATTACAGTCAAAATCTTAACCATTTCCCAACATCCAATTTATTATTTGACTTTAAATATGTTCAAATTGATTTATTAAATGGTACTGGTCATGTTAAATGTCGTCTGGTATTTGATACACATGGTGCAAAAGCTGATTCATGGTTTTCTTCAACACGTTTAAACTATTCATGGCCGCTATCAATCACAACGTTAAAGACCTACAATTTTGTACAATTCGGTCGCCAAATTTTGAGTAATGGGGAAAAAAGAAATTTATCAGAATCCTGGTTACATTTTGATTTTTGGATTGGCAAACATATGTTTGAACCACAGTTATTAAATGAAGAAAATAAGTATATGATGATGACATGCTTAAGTATATTCTTTGTTTACAGTTCAGAAAATGGAGCTGATAGCTATATATTACCCAAATGTATGGAAGATCAAATCAATGTATTTGATAATTCCAAACTAACAACATTAGCTTTCAGTGAGACGTTAGCCCAACTGAATGATATGCATAAAATGCAACAGATTATAATATGGACGAATTAAATTATTTACATCAACATCGTAATACATTGTTGTACTCTCCCTTTCTACTAACCAATAGTCAAATATTATGCTTTACTGACTACAGAAATACAACATGAAAATCTACAGTGTATTTCAGACAATTCCTTCCTTACCATGATAACTTTAAATCACACTTAAATGAAGTTATATTTTGCAGACTTTTTATTAAATTTCAAAAAAAGAAACCCTTTCCTTTCATTTGACGGTTTTAAAGGTTGAGTAAGTATGAAGAAAATTTTCATGAAATGGTACTAGTTAGAAACTTACTTTAGATTAAGGAATGATAAAGATCGTTTTAACAAATTTCTAAACATTTTACTTTTAAAAATAAGTTAACCAACTCCGTTGTCAACTACATAGAAGACTGCAAGATACGTGGAACTAAAGTGAAATCTGAAATTTGTGAAGTTTGATGGATTCTTGAAATGAATACAACCATTCTGATTGCTAACGTTAAGGTTCTTTCAAATAAAAGCTATTTATTATGATCTCTCTTAACTCATCAGCCAATGATTGTGAAAATAATGTTTACACTATGCCAGTTTACAGAGTATTCAATATCCGTGATCCGTCGATACAGAATAAAAGATAACAATAGTTTATCTGCGTTCTCAGAAAGAAAAAAAGAGTTCTAAGCTACACAGATGCAGAGAGCAATATCAAGCAATTGACATGAATGAGAAAACAAATATATAAACTTATTATGCGAAAATGTTCCTAACACGGAAGAAAGCTTCCCCGAAAGTAGTGTAATTACCCAATCAAAAGACACTAGCCTATCTTTGTAGTAAGCAAAAGTGTAATTTACTCCTTTGATCAACCATTTTGCTTTTTACGAGCCTACTTACATCCTTCGACCACGTTTAACTAACCATCGCTCTCCTAATGAAAGAACCACCGTACAAAAAAACAGCGGGTAATCTTAATCCTCTATTCTTTTTGACTATAACCTTCAGTTAAACTATATCCCAGATACGTACAACATGGTAGTTCAGTGTAACCGCTGACTCCTAAGTACTGATCGAAACTAATTAATCATGGGCTAAGACCACTAATTTAAACGACACAACACTGTAGTGCACTTGTGTTATATCAGGAGTCAATGAACACTTTGGCAGTGTCCGAATTTTACGCAGGTTCCAACCTCTAAGAGTGAATTAATTTCTCAAAGATTGCAGATAGGCCTTGTTGATGTAAGAAAACGAAGTCAAGCGGGACTTACCACCGAGTGACTCTTAACATGTAGGACCAAATAATAATCGCCAATACACATCAGTCAATCAGTACTAACCTGTGACCTGGCATTGAAAAGCTGTGGTTCATTTATATATGTATCAGACCTTTAGGTAAGTGAGTCTAGGATCAAACCCCACACCCACTTGGGCAACAAGATCAGATCATAAGACCCCAACACAACAACTGTGGTTCACAGCCTAATGTGTAAACACATATAACAGTTTGCCTAGTAGTACTTTTATTATTGCCTGGAATGGCAACTTTGGAGAACAAATTGCAGCAATTAAAATCATCACACAAGAAATCATACACATGATCATAAATTTCCCACTACCTAAAGATGGATTACAAAGTAGATACGAGACAGAAAGGTATACTTAGGTGGTTCTCGTGAAAAGAGTTATTTAATTTATTCGAAGAAGCGTTGGAAACACTATTTCACATAACTGTACAGCTCTGAATATATGCGATAGTTGCCAACAATCAGGAACAGTCTTAATTTTATTGAACGAGTTGTGAGCTTAGTTTGATGACTCAGTCAAATAAATAGAGATTAAAGTACAAAAAATCAAACACAACGTAGGTCAGAGTTGATTAATAATTCCTTTGTAGTAAGTAAATAGTATCCTTTCTTCCAATGAAGAAATGGATATCAAACAAACTTGTCATGATCACGTGAAGGCACTTTATAGTAGATATAGTTAGTTCTGCACAATCAGCAAACATTATCTTCACACTGTGACAGTAGCTGAGAACAATTCACATCACGAAAGTCACAAGACAATGATGAATGGCTTCACTTCTGGTGGTGGTGGTGGTAATATACCTTACGAAGGTTTAGATGCTGAAAACGAAACATTATTTCGTAAAACACTGACGGAGTAAAACAGTACACTAAGGTTAATTTATTTCAGCAGATTGTCACTGACAGTAAACTAAAAGCTATATTCTAATCTAGACAAAATTAGTCAGTCAAATAGCCACTAGAAAATTGGAACGTGGTATAGCTCCATTACAGTTAGGGTTGGTAATGTAGATCGCTATTTGGATAGAAAACCAACAACATGGAAAACAAACAGCGTGAGGTATCAATAACGACAGGAGTCAAATGAGATGGTAAGGGAAATAAATCAGAACAGTGAATTTGCGCATATCATTTTGTGATATGTATGTTTAGGAAGAGAGAGAAGTGGTACAGATGCATTCACCTTGTTATATCACTGGTATTTGGCTTAATCCCCTTTTCGTTCGACCTTAAAGCTTTCTAGATTCTTTAACTACGCTATCTCTACTTTTTATCGTATCATGTGGGTGCCTTCTATCTTGATGCAGGATGCAGCAACTTTGAAGCGTTATGCAGTAATACTACGTGTCACGAGTTGATAATGACTGATATTGTGTTGTATGCAGAAGGGAATTATGTTGCACACACTGACATCAACCAGTAGCACAGAAGTAAAAATCAATCAGATTTCTCGTCCTATCGAAAGCAAGTGCAACGGATGAGATTACCATTTCCCCATACTGATTAGTTTATTCTATGAAAAACGGGAACAAGTGCACTTTTCCAAGCTGTTATATTACACGCATGAAGTAGAAAAACAAGCCCCAAAAAAGCAACTCTTATTGAGTTCAAAATACTGAATCAATAAAGTTCTTGGGAATGATCCAGAGTAGCACTGGCTGTCTTGAGCCACTTTAACCTTCCCAAACTGGCAATTGCGAAATAAGTGTTTTATAGTAACTATCCATATAATTATACAAATTCTTAAGGAAACAGATCAGAACAACACCAGCTGGAGTCTTCAAAATGTATAGAATAGAACGTTAAAAGTGAATGCTAAGACTGTGAATGTAAAACATTGGCTAAGTGAAGCCAGGTGAGTGATAGCGGTATTGGATCAGAGAAGCTTGGTGGTGTAGACAAATTCCATAGGATGACTTTATCCAACTTTTGTCCAAATTTTATTGCCTCTGGTTCATCTGATACTATTCCACTGTGATGTACAATTACTGGACAGTAGCTTTCTGGGAAATCAAGTTGAACGCCTCTTAATGGTCTACCCCGGAAATTCGAAGTCAATACTGGATTGCTGTTCAAGGTAGTCAACTGCGAACTATTGTGATGAAAGAAAAATAACATAATTTACCCTAAAGAATCCACAGTCATAAGATCAGCATCCACATTCATCTCCTTCGCTTCGATTTTGCATGGCATCCAGTGTGCAATCATAGTTATGATCAACTCCAGAAAACCTATAAGATGCGAAATTTAGGCAAAACACGTTACAAACCCATTGTCAAGTGGGAAAATCAGTAAAAAGACTGAGTATTATGTTGATAACAGTCAGTAATCTATCATTAACTTAAAACAACCTTGCACAAGATTGTCATCGAGCAAGCTGAAGTTCGTCTGACTGAAGAATCACTACAAGAATCACTTAGGTCGCTAATAGATAACAGTGAAATAAGTGATGTGCGAAGTTACTGTCTCTGAATCTTAATAAATAGATTAAATCACCGGTTTGTGAAAAAATATGCCTTATTACTTGATGCTATTTTTTCGTTCGACCAAAACTAACTGATAAGTGACTGGAAGGACATCAGTTATTCAATACCAAAGGAGGTGATATGATACATGGCTCTTTGAGTTGCGAAGGTATATCCAAGCAAATTTGCGAAGATCCAAAAAAGTGATTTATGAAACGGAAAATAGTCATGATAAAGCGTTCTGGCAAAGTGTTCGAAGCTTGTTTCCAGCTTTCATCACTATTGATATTCAACAAACACCTCTAAATATTTAATACTAAAGTGCAACACAAACAGTTCAGAACAAGAGTGAACACTCCCAAACATGCGCATACAATGACACTACAATAAACTGAAGAGCGCAGTACGAACGAATAAAACAAGGGATTGGCATGTTATACCATCCGACTAGTACATGTATATAAACTCTTATTTTAGCAATCGATGAGGTAATATTGAAAAAATGTAAAAGCTTCAACCCACTACTTTGACAAATTTTGTCAAAAACCATTTTTCCCTGACCGAATCAACCAAAATAACCCTCACAAGATATGTCGATAAAGAAGTATTCAAATGGAAAACTAGATGGTTGAAATATTACGTAAAAAGGTTAAAATATCTTTTGCTGTTGTTTGGATTTAACTGAAAGTTCGCGAATAACTCAGGCAATTAACGATGCATTTATACTAATCTTCATGTTATAAAGCAGTTCAATGTAGCTGTAACATGAACTTTTAGAGATAAAAAATCACAGCAGATAGGTCAAACAAAATAGAGTAGACTTTTCTGCACTAACTATTACATCAAACTTGAGGAAAGTGGGCCAACTCATACAGAGAAGAGCATTCGCGATAAGTAAAAGAATAGAAAGTCAATTCTACGTCCTATCCATAAACCTGTTTCTGTTTAGCTAGGATCAACACTTTGAAAAGTCTAAATAAAAGAAACATAGGGCAACCTGACAAAAGTTTGTTTATTAGTAGCATTGAAGAGGTCCAGCTCTCAGAATCAACCAAAAGAATATGTAGCGTATTAAGAAGACAATTTAAACCCATATTTGGTTCCGAAAGCACTTACTGTTGTAACATGCTTATAATTGCGGACACATTAGTATTATTCACCAGCGTTTGGACTAAAATGCCATGCGCTATGAAGAAATACCTTAATCATACTAAATGAAGTCAAAAACAGTTTAGATACACAACCTCCTTTACTTATAATCAGTTACCTTGAAAAGAACTTCGGGTGACGGTACTACTAATTAGTGACATTCAAAATATGTCATAACGTTGGGATAGGGCCATAAACATTGACTTCATGTTAGTCTATGTATATATGTACCTTAAGGTACATTTTAGAGAATTCGAAGTACATCTGTGAATATAAAAATACGTGTCCTACTCTTGCTATATTTCTTTACCTGAAGGTGGTATTCAATACTGTCGACCAAGATGTGTTTTGGCAGTGATTGACTGGCAACTTGGACCATTTATGACAGTGGAGGGAGTATTCAGCAAATATGTAATGCTAATTAAAACTCTTTACTTGAGCACATGCAGCCGCGTATAGGCTTGAAGGAAGAGATCATTTACAGTGGAGAAAACCAGGTGTCCACCAGGGATACCAGCTGTCCCTGCTTATGTTCCCTTTCGTCATGGGTGTATTAATGGACATGACCTTAGATACACTTGACCACAAACATTGATTTATTCCCTGGAGGGTATCTAGTTGACTTGGATGATGCAGACACTGTCCTACTATGTGAAGACGGGGACAAAATGCAGGGTCTACTAGAAGCCTTCGGCAGAAGCCAGTGTGTGTTAGCATGCGTTTAGCACCTATCAAATGCAAGACGATACTTCAGGACTAGGCTCCAACGACTCCCAGCTTAAGGATAGTAAGTGAAGTGGTAGAATGCATCGACCACTGCACCCACTTGGAAAGTTGCAACAACCTGAACAGGCTGGTTGCTCACAAAATCACACCTCGGAAACAGAAAGCCCGTCCGCCATTTGCCAAATCCCAAAGTTGAATTAGATTGGAAGGCAATAGGTAGACAGACCATGAAGTGGCACCGGCCTATTAAGTTTCTAACTGTTGGTTTGAGCAATGCAGGGAGGTTTATACTGCCAGACTGGGCTCTTAGAGACCATAAGAATCAATTGTTGGGGACGCTTGTTGATACGTATGGAAGTCGGACACAATGGCGAACACGTATTTACTCTTGAATGTCTTCCGATACCTGAATATTTTCACTAGTCTTCATTTTTAAATTCCTCCCATTCTCCAAGACATATTTCCTCTAACATCACTTTTCCTTTCGTTATTCTTTGCATGCTGCTGGAAATAAAGGCAACTTGAGCCGATGTTTTTTCGGTTAGGCTATACAATTATTTTATCAGTCTGGATACATACACAAATAATTATCCACACGTATCTATTTCATAAGAAGTGTCGATTTGTAGTCAAAAAAGGAAATAACGGTGATCATCAGGCATGAACATAAAACTGAATCCTTGCACCCTACAATATTTGAAAATCTGTTTTGTTCTAAGGCTTTCGAGATTATATGAGCGATTACAGTTTCGAACTGTCATTGGCCCAGAGTAGCATGTGATTTTGCTTACTGTGTTGCTAATTACTGCAAACATTTCAGTGGTGCAACCAAATTCTGCCATTTTTAGTAGCAGTCAAAAACCAAGTAAATTATTTAATTTACCTTATGAGTTCTTACCAATAAGGTAAAGCCACCCAGAAAAAGGTTTAACTTCATCATTATCAAAATCAAGATCAACACAGGACCAGGGATTACTATGTAACGGTCCAAGTTGCCACACTTCATATCAGCACATCAAGTAAAGTCAATAAAATGGAAGATGAAGAAGGAAAGAAAATTCAGTCAGAGGAAGTAGAAACAGAAAGTAGTAAAAGAGAAGGAAGAATGAGAAGATGAGATTAAGTATAGCGGTTAGGATGAGGATTATGAGTGTGTATGCATCTGCGCCACTGACATCGGTTCTGAGGCATATCACCTAGTCTCCAACCACTGGTTTCTTCTGTCCCATGAACTCCAACTAGCTAATCTGAATCGTCCTACATGGCTCCAACGAACAGTCAAGGACTTCATGCAATGATACCATGTTTTAGTCTGGCCACCCTGAGCCTTTTTCCAACCTGAACCTACTTTGGCCAACAATGTGCGACGAGGGAAATGGTGGTTAGGTATACGTAACACACGTCCCAGCCATCTCGGTCGATGAAGGTTCACAACGACATTCATTTTCATTGTTTAATTATAGCAACGATAACTATAACAAGGACTTCGTAGAAGATATATACCCCTCATGTATCAATGAAAGTTCAATTTGATTTATCGCAACCAAATTTTAGTACCGTGGTGAAAAACCTGAAAAAGTTAGTTTACGTAAATATCATTTAAAGACACAACCCCATCAGTAAAATGATCAGTGCATGTGTCGTAAGCTATGACATTATACTTCATTCGTGTATCACTTAGGTCACCAGGTAGGTCTACACTCAGGAGCCCACAAGCAGTAACTCGTGAACCAAACCTTGCGCATTTCTACATTACTATTCAAACCAAGTCTTGCGGCAGTTGATGGCTATCTGGATAGCAAAAGATAGTACAGCGATTTTGACTAAGTTCTGCATTTCTTAACCTCAGTAGCATGCCGCAGAATGTTTCACGAACTTGACAACGGTTGTTGAAAGGCTTACAGACGAAATGAGTACAAGCTGGTCTTCAGAGTGGAATGAAACTTTACGGAATAAAAGTGACTTGGGTTTACCAGTAACTTCCACAGAGGAATTCAGAAATCTGGAATTAAAGATGGAAAACAACGAGTACAGTACAGTGGTTCAAACCTGGGCAACAGCTTTCACATTTATGCATCTTTTAATAGTCCGCTGAAACGATATCGATTAAAACTTGAAATAATTAGTCCTCTTGGTAAATTCGAACACAATGAGAAGACAGATATCATCTGAAACATGTAGTGTATTAAAGCCATACATTTCGAACAACCAGATCACACATGAACTTGTCGAATGCTTTAGATAAAATTTAGAAAGGCTAAATAAGCCAATGGAATTATAATTAAGAAATATAACAAGGGCAGATCAAAAGCAAGGGAAAAGAAAATGACAGAGAAAATCCAACGACATTTGCTAACACTCGGGTGTAGGTTGGTAATTTTCTGTACCGCGCTTTCTACAGCAGACAATATCACACCATGTTTCTTCAGGATGAGCATTGCTGTCATGTTCAAATAAATGCTTAGCTATCTCTGCCTTAAATCAAGACTTGACGTCCTCATCTTCTAATCGACCATAGACAGGCTTCACTACCTCCTGCTTTCTGCGACTGGCAAGGCACAAACATACACGAGCCCATACTAACGGGTGGTTGGAGTCCAAACTGGTACTCCAGAAAGAGCTCCAATCCTCCACTAGTCCTCTCCAATGATGGGTTATATCAATGTGATCTATCTGTGTCAGTTGTTGGCTTCAAGTTGGTGAATGCCATGAGATAGTATCTCTCCTTATGCCTAAAAATAGTGCTGGTCAGAAACCAGTGATTATGTGAGCGAAATTGCAACAGACAATCACCGTTGTCGGTTACTTGACACGAGATTCCGTAAATGCCTCCAGGACGCCTTTCAGATTGGCTCAGCTTGCCCACTTGAGCGTTAAAGTCACCTGTCATTATGACCACGTCTGAACACTTTGCTTTCTGTAGCAAAACTGACATCGAATTCACCCTTTACAACTTCCAGACTGCAGTCAGTGGATGCATAGGCGGAGATGACAAAGAAGTGTCGCCTAGTCTCATGATCCTTCCTACTCATTACAGATCCATTCAGTTGAACAGCACATAGAGGGCTGTTTACTGCTATTTAGTCAAGAAACCCACTTTATGCTCTACAACTCAATGCTATGCCTACACCAGAGAGCACATGAGAGCTAACCATTGGGTCTCTGGATACTCCTAAGGTGAATTGTGAAGATTCACTACTATGGGCAGGTGAGGTCAACTTAATAACCACACTCAGATCCTGTATACGTGTCTCAGAGAAAAAGTATACCCACAATTATGGTCAGAACAACTTGAATGTTAGCTAGTGTATAGGAGTTAGATATAATCCCTTTAACTGGTGTCTTTGCGAGAGAAAAATCCTGTGACAAACACAGGGCAATCAGCCTGACGAACACTGTCTAAGATTCTGGATTCTACAATTAACATGGTTAAATGGACCTCAGGAACAACGAAAACGAGAAAACTAGACACGCTTCAGGCTTGGCTGTGGGTTTCTTGACCAGGTATTTACTAGCCCACAGGTTCTAAAACACAGACACACCTACCGCCTCTTGACACTCGTTATATGTCTGCACCTGAAGACCGCGTTTCACCCCACCGGCCGAGAAGTCTTATGGCAGTCTCTCACTCAAGTGGGGAACCAATTGTGTATACCTTTCTGTTGATGGCTCTTAATTCAAACACCCTGAGTCGTGTTAGAGCTTATGGTGAGTTGTGTACGTCAAGTGGTGTCCATTAAGGATGTTCACTCTCCATTCCTATTCAAACTAACTACAAACGCACTAATGAAGGTTTCCCTCTCTTTATCCGACTTTGCAGGGATTGGTCTTATCACAGGAGAACCATTAGTAAATCTGGATTACGCATATGAGTCCTGTTGGGTGAAGACGCTGACGAGATAAAGAAGTTTATGGATACCTATGATGGCAACCTGATAATGTTTAGGATGCATTCCTCGCCACCCAATCGCAGTGTTGCACCAGGACCAGTCTTCAGTGGGTGTCTGATCTAGCAATAGGGAGTGGAATGATTGGGCATGTTGCACAGACATGAAGATTACACGTAGGGTAGCGTAATCATAGAAAACTCAGGATGCTGCGAGCCATTATCAATTCTCTCTTTAGTCTTCTGTATTCCACGAGACAGAGCCAGGGTAAGTAGTCGTCCTTCATATGTTTTAGACATAAGTCCTTGAAAAGATTTGGTCGAGGGCCTGTGGACGTGCTCTAAGCTTAATTTGTCGTTTTGTACAGAAGGGGGAAGACGATAGTCCCAAACTCCTGATGAGGCGGTTGAAAATCCGGCGAAAACATCCACGATCGGATTGTCCGAAAACTCGTCTCAAGGTTACTAACGCTAGGTTTCTGCGAGATGCGTTTCCGTCACAGTTGGCATAGGACTTTTAGCCTTGAGATACTAGAACGCTCAAAATCCTCCGTCAGGGACATTTCAAACTTTATGTAGTTGAGGCTACATACATGACACGCACCATGTTTTACAAGTAACACCTAGCACTTTTCAGGATTGAATGTGAGCCCATTATTGACTGTGCAGTTCTGAAGTTAAGTCTTCCTGCAGAAAAACCCTTTTGATTTCTCTTTGTAGTGTCACATCATCGGCAAAGCGACGGAATTCAGAAAGAATCTGTTGAGTCAGATGGCTTGTATATATTAGGAAAAGAAGAGACTCTAGTGCTGAACTTTAGGGAACTCCACTAGGACATTCTCTTTTCAGAGATAGAGAAGTTTACTCGAACTCTAAGTGAACAACCTCGTAGATATGAGGACAACCAGTCAATGAACAGTGGTTTTGTATCGATTGACTTTAGTTTATCAATAAGGTAGTCGTAATTATATGATCAAACGCCTTGGTAAAAATTAGATAAATAACCTCAGTTCGACCTTGATGGTCGACAGTACTAGTCCATCTATCTACTGCAGCAAGCAGATTGGTAATTCAGAAGTACCCCTTACTAAATCCGTGTTACTGGGGTGTAAAGAAGTTGATCATTACAAGGTTATCCTTCAGCCTACCACAGATTAACGATCCCATTACTTTTGAAGGTATGTATAAAAGCCTCACCAGTCTGCATTTTTTCGGGTTGCATCGTTGACCTCCTTTGAGGATTGGCGTTACATGGCCCAAATTCTAAGGAACAGGTACCCTACCTTGCCTTAGAGAATACTTCAATGCCAGTTCCCGCAGTACCACTGCATGAATTTTATCTGGTCTCGGAGAGGTTTTTTGTGAGGTGTAACAGTTTGTACCATGCAAGCTCAACGCCTGAGTCCTACTTCGTTAGTGGGATATTCTTAAACTCTTGAGTAGGTGGACGATGACGAAAAGATTTGTAAGTACTGATTATAATCAGCTGTATATCCAGCCGGCAAATACTTTGAGAGCCAGTCTGTTAGTACCTAGTAATTGAGACCATCACTTTAGCCTGGCAGAACGATGCAAAACAGCGGAACATACTTCTCCAGTTAAAAACAAACATGCATATAACCCTAACCTGAAAGTCCTGATGAGCATCAGGCAACGGCGCGTTGCCAATCCGTTCTCGATACCTTCCTACACATGTTTCTTATCTGTTTGACAACTGTGACATCAGTCGACTGTGAACGTCTTCTTCCGCAAAATTTAACGAAACTCTCAAAAATGACTACTTGCTGGGCGATAAGTAAAACACAAAGAAGCAAATGTACCCACTTTTAAATTAAGGACATATTTCAGGTTGAAGTAGTAACAGAGCGGTCAAACAAATTAAAGTGCAAGTGAAGCAGAGGATCCATTAAATTGCTGATGAACTACTAACAGTGCAATAACTTCCTAAAACTTCACCATCAAAAATGAGTTGAAATCGCCAATCGTTAAAAATTAAGACAAGCGCAAATTGTCAGCATGCTAATGAACACGGTGAAATGCCGATTGTCTCTACGTTACGCCTACTATCGTTTTCTGGCCGACGCTGGACATCTGAGCTCACTATGCTTCCTGCATACAAACTCATCTTGTATCGCCTGCATTCTGTTCTGAAAGTACTACTCCAAAGTCAACTAACGAGGTTTCATCAACTTTCACTGCAACTGATTTACAACCAGGCTTCCGGAAGTGATCATTCATTTTAAACATAAACATCACTATCGTAGTCTTTGGTCTTTTCCCGTCGTCGTCTGATCGCTGCACTGGTTACTCGACTGCGCTGGTTCTTGTTTTTCTTTGGAGGTCATTCCTCAGAATATGTCCTATTTATCTGGATTCGCATCAAACTTTTGAAATGATTGCCTAGTGTATGAAGTGAGGCAACTTTTAAGCTGCCCTCTGTTTGAATTCGCTTCTTTTTTTATGTAACCAGCATGATGCCTGATGGTTCAGAGAATGCGGTCTCAGGCATCCGCGCACATCACGAGTACTCATAGAAATAAAGGAAACACCCAACACAGCCTTGGTGCTTACATCACAGGAACCATATACCTAGAGGACCCTAGCACTTCCGGGACCTTGCCATCCCGCACATCTAAGATCTTCATGGCTACCCTACGGGAAGCTGGTGGTATTCCTGTCACACCTAGAACCAGCTACAGTCTAGGCAAAAATTGAAGAAGGTTCTCGCCGCAGTAAGGGGTACAGTAAAACACGAAAAGAAATTAACAAAGGATCAGAAAAGGTCTCACCACCCGTAAAAATACCTGAAGACCTCGGCAAGCAGGCCGCGGGTATGCATGTGTTGATTATAACCGCGGAGTCTGCAAGGTGATGGCTGCATAAATACAACTCGTCAGCTTGTAGCATATGTAAGAAATGTGTGCAGTACTACAGCCAAATACTTGTTACCCAATAATATTCTGAGATCTTAAGAATGCGGTCACCAAAACGTTTTGATGGATATATGCCCAGGATGTCAAAAAGAATCCTTCCCAGTTAACGGCAAACTCAACGACGCTCTACATAATAAAACTATAACACAAGTCACACTAAACAGTAAGCAGGCATGCAACAGCAAATGTAAAGTGCAAAACGACATCCGAGTTTACATAAGGCCATTGTGCTATTTGACCATCATATGTACAACAAAGACGAATCTTGTAAGCAGCGGGGCAGAACCCCCTGAAACCGTTGACAAAACACTTACACCATAAGTAGGGGCGGCAGTGGAACACGAAGCTCTGTGCGTTCACGAAGCACAAAAGGGCTGAACCTACGCTAAGGTAGTGATGAAGGAGACGAAAATTCCGGTGAAAACAAAGTCGAACAGTAGGAGACATGAGAGACGCAAAGACAAGCTGTATTGTCTTTTTCAGAGATTAAATCCGGTGACTACCTGTCAGGTAAACAGGAAAAGTACAGCGGGACTATGCTGACGCGAGCATCTACAAACATCAGAAATAGCGTACGCCCCCATAAAAGCATATTAGCTGTCACGTGGCCTCTTGAGACAGATCACCACCAGTTTTAGTTACTTATGGCAGCCAGAAACAAGCTGTAGACGTGTTTCCGCCATGACACCATAAGTATTTGGTTATCACAGGTTGGGTCGAGACCTAGAGAGGTAAGCCACGGTTCTAAAGATGTAGGCAGGCTGGTGGTTCATCTTATGGCCAAATGTGACCTCCGTTATCGTTGTGCACGGAATACCTGAGATGAGAGACGAACACTCAGGGGGCGAGCACTGCCTTCACAGTTTGCACTGGTGACAAAAGTTAGACTTGGCAGCCTATAAGTATGCGCTACTACAGGGTAACCAGGAGCAGTCCACTGCATCCATTTCCCATATTCGTTAACTTTCGGTTGTGGTGCTCATATGGCGCCCACCGATACCTTCACATTCCTGTACGATATAGATGGTGCAATCAGGTCCACCACACAAACAGTCAGAAGACAGCTAATGGTGACGCTGCAGTCAGTCGCTATAACAAGAGAAACGATCGGTGAAAACAACACTGCACACATTACGCCACACTGTAGGTAGATTATAGTGTTGATCCACGAAAGGGGCGCCAGCAAGCACCATGAGTTTTGGTAACTCTATTGTCGAATATTTTGGGGCTAATTCTCACCACAGGAACACCACGACAGAGAACCCACTACCCACTTTGAGGATTGTCACGGGCATGCTAGGCAATGTCAGGGGCTGGGAAGCCAAAGTTATCTAAGACCTTTCTGTATGCGCCTTAGCTTCGAGACCATTTTCTCCACTGGGACTTGGCTCATCCCAGATTTTCCAGCTGATGAGTTTCATCTTCTTGATCCTTTTGAAGCGTGCATTACATCTTTTGTGCCTTCCTCGTGCTTTTGAATTTTGGCAATCTGGCTACGATGCAGTTACATTTTCGCCTGCAAATTAAAGCTTCTAAACATATAAGTTATCCGCTAACTGTTGCTGTCATTTTCCCCGCAACTGTTGGTTGCGTATCTCTGGTTTCCATCAATACGTGAACTTTGGTCTGGACTTCAGCGTTCTTCGCTATTTGACGGGAAGTTGTAGCATCTTGCTGGTTTATCTACCAGTTTACTGCAAATCTGAGGTTGACAGACAACCAATAACTTTAATCTGTGTTCAGATAGGTCTCCAATCTTGCCATTTTATCGTCAGACAACAAACTTTTGTTTCTCTATGTCTGTGCCCTGTAGCCTTAACATGAGTGACGTTATTGCTGCCGTTAACAAACCAATCCATAAAGCTTAGAGATCAAAAGTTCCGGACCCGTCACCAGGGTCTGAAAGTGGCTTATTTGTTGATGGTCCCTCTATGGATCTGCCTGACGTCGTGGCTGACGTATATAATGGTGTTATTGCGAGCAAGCGTAATATTGTTGACAACAGTAACGCGATTGCTGATCTTCAGCATAAACTAGACTGTCCTACACCCCTGATTTGCCTACTCGACCCTACAGTGGACCTGTCAGTGAATAACCTTATTAAGTGTGAAACATTGTTGAACTTTGTGGCCACTGAAGCCAGCAAACGATTGGCTTCCTTGCACAACTCCGTTGTCCTCAATGTCCCTGTTAGTTTTCCATTGAGACGTGTTAAAAATGATCTCCTCCAAGCCTGTCGTGTGCTTGAATCTCGTTGCACACTCCGGGGTCTTAGGAGGAGGACTAGTAAATACCCCTGTCCAATACTATTCCAGTTAAGCTAACTCCTTGATGCGAGACACTTTTGTGGTTCGCAGAAATCTGTAAGGCTCTTGAGAAGCAGTGAGAATGTTAGGGTACTTCCAGATCTTCCCCCATGTTAAAGACGGACACGTGTTTCGAAACCTTAAGAAGTCCCTCTGAAAACTTCATCAAAACCATTGGCCACCCGGAGCTTACTGGCGCCTAAGAGTCAGCCACTCACACCAGATGACGTTGCGAGTGTAGACCAAAAAAGGCTGACCGAGCATATTGTTGCAAGCACATCAGTTGCTAATGTTTCACCACCCAAAATGGTAGTAAACACCGGAACTGAAGGTCAAGTCTCGGCCAGTTATGCAGATTTATTCCCAGATGATGTTGACGTGGACAGCAAAGGTAATGATGCGCCCGATATGCACCTGGTTCCCCGAGTTTATCGACGAAACCTGTATCACCCAGGTGCAGTTACGCTGCTAAGCTTTTGCCGCCCTCAAATACCATGTTGACCTCTGAGTGTATTGACAATGCACAGTACAACGTGCCATGTTTCGAAAACCTAAACCTAAAAGTCCTAGTTGGAGTATACCGCCAAAACTAATGGCACAGAAACGTTTTAGCCAGCCCCAAAGTAGTGATATTCAGACTGTCAAACCTAATGGTTGTAACGCCATCCGAAGAGTGACCCCGTTTCCTCACGCGGACACGTTCGCCACGTCCACCGATATGACACCAAGCACTATGGCACCCTCACTAAGCAACAGAGAGGTAGGATCCATACACCACGGTGGTAAAAAGAAAGGGAACATGCGTCAGAATGTTCAGAGCACAAATGCCTACTATATTCATGAAGACAAGGGCTACAGGAGAAACGATAGGTTTTTCTCCTCACACCCATCTACACAACATTCAAATCCAATGAATGCTCGCCCCAGTACAACGATATCACCTCCTGGTTGGAGACCTGCTGTTCAGATGCAGCCTGTGATACTGGCTCCCCAACATGATGCACCCTACCCCTTCTCATGAGGAAGTGAAACCACAGATTTACTTGGCTCATTTCCGCAGACACCCATACCCAGGGCTCATTCTGAAAACCCAAATTTTCGCGGACTTCAAAAATTATTAGCGCCTTTTACTGTTCAGATGATGACGCTGTCAAATCAGCTACTCTCAACCCTAACCCACAACCACTACAGTGGCGGGGAAGGTGCTACGCCAACTCGTCATCCTCCCGGCTCATATACAGTGGGTCAGCACCTAACACAATAAAGGATAATATTAGTAGTAACCCAGTAGCATCTTATTCCCCTATTATGCCCCCAAAACCAAATTCTACCCCATGTTCCTCACCACTACAGTTCCACCTAACCTGTGAGAAAGTGCTTTCCGAAAACAGGTTTGGGTACTACTGCTTATCCAATTCTTTAACCTTCTGTCTGATTAACGCTCGTTCCATACGCAACAAAATAAGTGAGATCACTATGTTGTCGACTATGTCTAACCCCTGACTAATATTTACCACCGAAGCTTGGTGCACTCCAGACACTCCTGATAGTGATGTCTCTGTCGACAAGTATACTCTGTTTACAGGAGATAGACATAATGGTAGAGGTGGTGGTTGCATCATCTGTATCAGGTCCGACATTGCTGCCACAAATTGTATTACTCAGAACTCAGTTCGTTCAGCGATCATTGTGGGTTGTGGTGAAGTTTACTAATGCTATAACTATCCTCTTAGGGT